GGCCAGCCCAAACCCGTTGAGGTTTCGGGGCGCCGCCCTGAAGCCCCGCCCCGCTCACGGCGACGGCGGGGTGGATCCATTGGCCCACGACGGCAATGGAACCCCGTCGGGGGCGCGCCCGAACCCCGCCCGCCGACCGGCAATGGGCACCGTGTCGGGGCGCGCGCCTCGAACCCCGCATTCCGCATGCATGGGTCACGTGTCGTCGGACAACTCTTCAGTTTCCCTAAGCTCACGTGGGCGTACCCGGTGTGAGAAACAAGGGTCCCCGAAGTATTCGCCAACTCCAACACGGTTTAGTGGTCGAACCGCGATTTTGTTGCCCTTATAGATATTTTAAAAGCGAATCTAACGTTTTGGGCGCTTCTCAAGATCAATTTCTCAATCGTGCCGTACTCACGTTCGTTTCATCGCAGTGTCATTGTAAAGTGGTTGTCATGCGCAAACTTGAGAAAGGGTGAACGTTGCGGGCCGTCTCGCGGTCAGTGATGGTCTCTTTTGGAGCTCGGATCTTGAAGAAGAGACGACGCGACGGAGTCTCGATCGGTCCTTTTCCTGTTTTCGCCAACCCAATATGATGAGTCCATGATGCATCTGTTCTTGGCCCATCGGACCAAGATGGGTTACTCTTGAGGCAAAGTGTTCTCGGGGTTTGAGTCCGCAGCCGATGTACGAGGACGAGATGGTTTGCATGCGTTTGTGAAGATCGGTCGGGCCGATGTTCCATCTTCGACGCGTTAGTTTGCTGATCTCTTATCTTCGCTAAAACTAGTGGGCAGATATGGTTTGCTAAATCCGACCATGGAGGCTGTGCTATCTCTCCCGTTCGATTTCCAAGGGCCGTCAAGAACTGTATGTCCGGTTTCGCCGGTCGGGATTTCGGCCCCGTTTCAGGGAGCTCGATCTATTAACGACGGTCGATCACTTTAATGCCCCATTCGATTGCAAAGCTCTCGATGCCGAACACTCGGCAGTAGCGAACCGAGATACACGACCGGAGAGATCCGAATGCGGACGGGCTCGTGAACACGCCGTGCGGTTCACCACGGGCCCGTGCTCTGTTTCGCCCCGTTTTAGTAGCGTTTATCCCCCGAGCCCCCTTTTGGTGTGGTGGCGTTTTTGGGTTGCTTTCGGCCTAAAAAAGTCTCTCTCGCTCTATCTCTTTTCGGGTACTCATTGCGACGCTGGCTCGCACGACGTCACGTCGTGGAAATACAAAGAGGCATTGAGAAGATGGGAGAGAAAGGACGACTGGTCCTCCTCACCAAACTCACTTCCACGACAGTAGAGCAAAGGACATCACATGCATGGGCGCATTGCCCCCACCCCCCTGAATTGCCATCTCGCACTTCCCCCTTCTCTTTCTTCTCCTCTTTTCGCCCGCGTCGTAATATCCCACGCCACTGAACTTCTTCACGTACCGATCCTTTGATCGCGTGAGGCGAGAGTGTAGCCGGCGAGATTCGGACTCGAGACCCGCTACCGATCGATCCCCGTCATCATCGACGTCCGCTTCATCAGAGAACGATCCGCGAAATATCGCACAACGAGCTTTCTCTAGTCGATCAAAAAAGGAAACAAGGGAGGATAATAATACAAGTCTTCTTATCCTTTTCAAATTTTATCTTTTCGTCCACGACAACGGGTTTGTTTGGTTCGGCTTTTGGGAAATGCATTTGGCAAAATGCAAAAACCTTTGAGCTAAAAGGGTTTTTCGAAATGCAAGTAGTGTTTGATAATGTGTATTTTAAAATCACATTTGAAAGCAACTTTGACCTAAATACCGTTTGGTAAAATTATTTGTAAAAAAATTTTGTTGATATTTAAAAAAAAAAAAAAAGCTGGCCACCGACCACCACCGCCGGCCAGATCTGGTCGCCGGTGACCTCAGGCGGCGTCGTCCGACCTCGGCGATCGCCGCCTGGGGGTCGCGTGACCCCGGCGACCTCTGCCGGACCTCAGGCGGCGGTCGCCGGGGTCGCGCGACCCCTAGGCGGCGGTCGCCGGGGCGCTGGTCCTCAAGCGGCGGTGACCGGCCGCCGGATCAGCTCCTTGGAAGACGATGAACAGTGCGCGATAAACAGTATCCGATTGCATTCCGAAAATGCAACTTCTCAAAGCTCCTCACGGGCTCCATTCAGCCAAAGACCCTTGGAAAGCTTTGGAGATGGAATTGCATCTCCTCAAAACTTCCCAAAAAATTTACCAACCAACTTCGCATTTGCACAAGGAACTTTAGACCCCCAAAGCAGCATTTGAAAGCTGAACCAAACAGGCCCAACGTCCAATTACAAAATTGGGTTGTTCCTCGGATTCCATTTTGCTCACTGCAGGCTTTTTACGTCTTCTTGTGGGAGGTTTCGTGTCCTTTCTTGTTTGAAATGCCAATGGCCATTCGAAAGAAAATGTGGGGGGGAATGTACCCCACCACCCACCACGGGGCACGAACTATCCTCCCCGATTGTTTCTTGACTTTGGATCATCCACGGTCCTTCCCTTTGACAACGGGTCGCTCGCTTAGAATATAAAGGACCTAACTTTTTCTCGTTATCGCGAGCGTCCCATCTAAACAAATCTTTTAACTTTGAGTCGAATCTCAATTATGTCTCGAGAAATTCTCAACTTTCAATATAATCCCAAAATCTGCCCACGCGTCTAAAACCTATTGTTGGTTCCGCACGAAAGCTGGGTGTTGGTGAAGACGCGGGTTCCGATAACGGATCTCTAACTAGCACCGATGTTGTCGATTTGGTGAAACCGGTGGCGATATTTCGATGCGTGGGCGGATTTTGGGGCCACAGTGAAAGATAGGAGGATCTTTTTTTTTGACAAAATAAAAGTTCGGGACAGAGTTGGGATTGAACCTGGTGCGTCTGCTTCACGAAAGATAAATGATTCAGAAAACATTTTTCCTAAAGATGACCGTACGTGTCGCGTACAAAAAATGAATGAACGAAATATATATTTTCAACGACCATGATAGTATTAAGACATAAATTGATGTTGAAAACAAAACATTTTTCGTTAAATTATTTTATTATTTATTTTTATCGAAACAAACGGAGTTTAAAATTATATATTTTTTTAGGAAATTAGGTCCATTTTCATGCACCACTGCCGAATTATTGCGGTCCTCAAAGCATTTTGGATGAAGACAGAGAAGGGAAAAAGAAAAAAGAAAAAAAGAAAAAAGAAAAACTTTAGTCAAACGAACTTCATAATAATTTTGACCCACACCAACCCCCCGAAACAGTTAAAATAAATAAAATAAAAATAGAGGGAGCGAGGTAGACAGCGGGCGCTCCTTGGCTTCGTCCTCTCCTCGGTGTCATCACGACACGAGGCCCGTTTAATAATCATTTTTTTCAATTTTTCAGTTTTTTAATTTCAAGTGGTTTTTTCTTAACTTTTCTATCTTTAATATCACAATCAATAAAGAAAAGTAATTCTATAACTTGGCCTTTTTATAGCACACAAATTAGATTTGTTTTAGCAAACATCGGGTGTTGTGTATGATAAATTGAAGCTTCCTAATTAGCATGAGTATTAGCTATGTAATCTAAAAGTGTATTGTACTGTAACATTCTCAAACAATTCATATCGACAGAATCCCTAAAATCATTACTGGTTACTTAATTAAAAAAACGATGCGTAACTATAAAGAATTCTCAAAAGATAAAATCACCGGTCGAAAAGAGACAATTAGCTTTACAAGTAACGCGACGCTAATTCGTGTTTTTAGTATTCTTGATACAATAAACTAGATGCTTTATGTGGCCCGAGTTGTTCTTACTATGATATGAAGATACGCATCATGAAATATTTTTAAATGCCAATACATGCAAAAAAAAGGAAAAGAAATGTCGATTGTTATTAGCACTGAGAAACTAACAAAAACAATAACTTAAAATGCCAAAATATTTACCGTGCTATTTAGTAAATCTTTTGTATATAGATTTACAATCATTAAAATTTATCTTACGAAACAACCCATATCGCATTTTTTTTTTCTTCCACTGCAGTCTTTTCACTACTTGGCACAACGCGTGCACACAACACAACACAATGTATATGTGATTTCTTTAATCAGTGTCCCTACCCTAGGCACTTGCTAATTATTCAAATAACGAAATTCTGTCATTCCCAAAGCATCTCAATAATTAAGATCGATCTGGCTCTTAAGACAATTTGCTTCCTTTTAATGTCCATTTTGTTTCAGGAATTTAAATTCTTAATTTACATGACTAAAACAGTACGTTAACTAGGAAAGTTTTTACTTCATCATGCACAATATCCAAATATTGCTAAAAAAAAAAGTTCTTTTTGTAATGAGAAAGGGCAAGCTTTTAGATTTTTTGTAATTAATTCAGATATTAAAAATTGAAAAATCAAGAAAAGCATATAGATGCTTACGTGACACAAAGCACTCTTAATAAGAAAAAAAAAAAAAACGCCCTTTTCAGACCCTAGATTACAAAAGAATTTATAGCTGCTTCCTTAACCAGAAATGTGTCAGGTTTACCTCCACCTTTGTTTTTTCCTCTTTTAACGGCAAAACAAGGTGGTAATGGGAAGCGGTGGTTGGTGTTCTGATATCTCGAACATCACCATACAAGTTTCACAATGTCCATTCGAACCATGCATGCTTTACGAATGCGCCACTTTGCTGTAAATCTTGAACTGTGTCATCAGCAGAATCAAGAAACTTTCAAGAGAATTTTAGCGGGAGTTTTCTTATGAACTCGGTTGTTTTTGCTTCAAAGGCACGAGAGCGGCCGCACTAAGAGTCGAGGGAAAGATGGAAGAAACAAACGGACATCGCAAGTCATCAGTCCTGGGGGACGGAAAGCTGCCCCGGATTAGACATTGGAACGGTTAACTTGTGATTTCAGAGGACACCCACGATGCAAGTTGGTCCCGTTTGGCTATTAGAACAGCGCCGGATCGGTCGGAAGCTATCGAGGACTGGAACAAGAAGCAATAATCACCCAACACTTAACTTTCTTGAACCTGGAATCACGATACTTATAGCACAATGAACACAATTTAGACAATCACTCTGTCTGTTGTGGTGGCTGGTGGGCGACCATTAGACTTGAATTCAAACTCAGAGGACATATGCTCTGGGGGGGGTCATAAATTAATTCGAGTACTATTGCAACAGCACTAACAAGTTAATATCCTCGCAGCCCTGCTCGACAGGATCGACGCGTGCGTAAATCGGCATCCTATTTGCGGTTATTGATCAGAAGAATGCGCGGCTACCATAGAAAACCCGCGACTGATCCTTCCTGTTGCTGTTACTGTTGTTATTGTTCTCCAAATCCAAGTTGCCTACTTGAGTCCGGATCTCGCCGGTGGTGGCCAGCTCTTCTTTGATCTCAGGCTTGTCGATGTCCATAGGGAGCTTCATTTTAGCCAGGGACTCCGTGAATTGATGCATGCTTCTCATGTACATGTCCACAATCTGCTGTTGCATCGCCGATTGCTCTGCCTCGAGATTCATGTTCGCAATTGGCGCAGAAAACACCTGGTGATGATGACCGAACTTCGCACGATCCGTGTTCACTTTCACATCCGCATCCCCTTCTTCATTATTACTTCCCTTGATCGCTCCTTCCTCGGAATCACACTCCTCGTTCTCATTTTTCACGATCTTGATGATCTCGCACGCCTTCTTCGAAGTCGGAGTGTCAGGGCAGGCTCCACAGCCCTGGCTGGCCTCGGGATTCGCTGAATTCAACGCGTCGATGCCCGAACCTGAGCCGGACCGTGCCTTCTTCTCGACCGTTGACTCGGCCGAGTTCCGATCGTCGCTCAAGCTGGTGGTAGTCGAGCTCAGGAACCCGGAGTTCCGGCAACTCCCGTCCGGCGAGATGGAGAAGTCGGATCGCTCCAAGGCGTGATTTTGACCCATCTCGCAATCGTCGATCGCGGTCGGGGACGAGCCCAGATGGAGAAAGGACCCGAAGAACCCGCCATTGCTGTTGGGCTTCGAGCCGGAGCTCGTCGAGCCCTGACTCGCCAGGTCAAAGTACTCGGACACCATCTTCTGATTCTCCCTCACGACGCTGATTTCGGGGAACTCGATCTTGGCATACTCGACCGGGTCGGGGATCACCTCCGAGACTTTCCGGTCGAGCAGCACCACCTCGGAGCTGATCGACGAGTTGGCCGCCGAGTCGACCGGGGCCGACGCGGTGAGCTGGAGGCCGAGCCGGACGGTCCCAGCAGGGGAGTGGAAGAGGTCGGTGGACGAGAGGCTGTAGTCGCGGGTGACCTTGCCCTTGCCGGCGATCTGCGACAGCGGGACGAGGGCGAACCCAAGGAGCTGGTCCTCCATGAAGTGCCGCGCGCGGCTCAGCATCCACACCTCGCACTTGAGGACCGAGTCGGGCTGCGCCACCTCGAGGACGAGGGACTCGTTGAATTCCGGGTTCTTGCCGCCGCCGCAGGCGACGCGGGTGGAGAGGGCGTCGTCGGGGCTGTAGGTGAGGGAGAACTTGGCGTACACGTCCTGGTTGTCGTAGATGCAGATGTTGTGGATGTTCCTCGCGTGGTGGACGTGGACCTCCAGGACGCCGGCGAAGCTCGCGTCCCCGTCGCCGTCGCCGTCGCCGTCGCCGCCGACCATGCTAAAGGCCGAGGGGTGCGCGAACGAGTCCATGAATCGTTTTCTCTCTCGATACCCGGAGACTAAAACGCTTCTTAGGGACGGAGTTGACTCTGGGACGTCATGGACATAGTCCGATCAGCTCAGCTCAGCTCAGCTCCGCTCCGCTCTCGCAAGGAGGAGGCAAACGAAGTAAAAGGGTCTTTTTGTGGAGCTGGCTGTCAATGAGTGGGTGCTTCCCAGGAGTGCTCGATCGCCATGATTGGTTTGATGCGTGCGTGAGAGAGAGAGAGAGAGAGAGAGAGAGAAAGCAAAGGACTTCCGTTCGAATGAATAGCAGAAGAATCAAGAATTCGAGCTGTGTTTCACTGTTGAACTTTGGACTTTGAGAGACACAGAGAGAGAGACAGAGAGATGGTGGGTAGGGTAAGGTATGGTAGTAGGTGAGAATGGAGAGAGTTTAAGAAACTAAAGAAGAAGAGGAGGAGGAGGAGGAGGAAGAAGAAAGGTGATGATGCAAATTTGAGGGATCTTTGAACATTTTTTTTTGCTTTTTTGCGTGATTATGCGTACACACTCAATATGATATTCCCTCGAAGGGCTGTCGCCTTTTCTTGCATGATGTCGAAATCTCGATTTCTCGATTTCCTTTTTCTTGATGCTGCTGGTGCTACATGGGGAGGGAGGGAGGGAGGGAGGGGTGGGTGGAGGTGGAGGTGGTTTTGCTTGGCTTGCTTCCACTTCAAGTGACTCAAGGCAAGCTCCCCCACTGATTGATATCCAGTCCCTGTTGGAGGAGGCCCCACGCTTGGGTTGGATGCTCTTTGTTAGTGTATCTCTACTCATTTGCTTTCATGCCAAAAACATGGTTTGGGTTACTATTGCTCCCTCTCACTAATGTGGTGCGACCTAGTTCAAGGGAAAAAAGCATAGTGTATTTGCAACTCTATGACTTTTGCAAACACGCCTTAGAATCTAACACATTGTTTGTGTGAACGCGGATTATGTCCTCATTTGAAAGAAATCACTCACGCGTAGTCGTGTCAATAAAGTATGTTCCCTAATTCTACGTACATTGAATTGTTCGGACAAGATTTTTGTATATTAAACCAAGACTGCAGTGAAAACGGGCCTTTCAATAGTAGTTCTGAGGTGCGAGACAGTGCACTCGTCTTTACATTGGTTAGGCCGTCACAAATCACTTTTCATTGACACGACTCTAGTCTATTTGCTAATGTAATGCCAAGGAGTCGCGCTTTATATCACGAGTCATAATGTCATAACTTGTCTAATTACTAGTTTTATCCGATCCGTCGTCAATCAATATATAATGCTCCTCGCCCGGCTTCTTCGAGCATACTCTGCATGAATAGTAAATACAGTAGTACTCTCTGCACGGCCATCAAGTACAGTTCTCTCTGGGTGAGCCATCTTGAACACAGAGCATGCCACATAAATGGAGCTGCTCCGCGTCGCTACTGGTTTCAGACCAGACGCTACTACTCTTCTCTCGTTCTGCCTTGACTAGGACACAATCATCTTCGGACATGGACATGGACATGGACATGGACATGGACATGATTACCCAAGACTTCCACGAAAGCCTGTCGCATGTGACAGTTCTTTTGAGCCAACGGAATCCCCTCCCATTTTCAGTAGTTAAAAATTCAACTTCGGTTGGGCAAGTTGGTATCGACCACATGGCTAGCTCTGCTCGGACAGGGTCCCACGTCCAATGGCGTGCTTTAGGCTCTCCATCGATCACGAATTCGGCGTTTGAGAGCAAGGCAGGGAGGCCTAACGCATTCGAGATCAACGCAGTTGGTCGAGACGTGAAGAGATTTTCAATTAAGGAATCGATTGTTATCGATTCGAATTTTAACAGCACGCAAATTGTAATCTCTTGCGCAGGCTTAGAGCCCGAGCCGGACATATACCCCTTGATTATTCAAAAAAAAAGAAGAACAAATTATCCGTACGAGGACCAACCCCCGCTCGCACTCCGCAAGCGAAGGCAAATGTGTTAGGTAAATAAAACTCACGAGTCGTGATGACGCCTCCTCCAGTCGCGACTCCCAGCGCGAAATTTCTCCGGGTCGTTCCCTCGGTCATTTTCACAAACAGTTAGCGAGCAAAGGCGGGGCTGAACAAGAAGCCGGGTCGAGAATCTTCAAATTGCGAGACGACAGACTCGAGAGGGTACCCGATGACTATTACAGTAAAACCCATGGAAAACATGGGCCGGAGATGTCCTCATCCTGCACGTATCGAACTTAACAGTGTTTTCAGTTCAAAGAAGCTGCAGAATTCCTTGGAAAACCACAAAATCGAGAGAGTAGAGCACGCAGCTAATGCGTTTGGTCAACCGGATAAAAGCCAGGATAGGATATGTTTTATACTATCCTGTGTTTGGTGGTTGTCCAGGATAGGATAAGGTCGGATATAGACCGGATATAGCCCGGATAAAAAAATCCGGGGAGGGGGGTGGGATAGACCCGGATAGGATTTCTAATGCCTATTTTTCCAAAAACCCTACACTCCACTCGCCGTCATTTTCATCCCCACACCTTGTGCGTTTTCACCAAAAAAATTTCTTGATTTTTTTTCTTTCACTGACTCCTCCGGACCCGTGAATAGCAAAAAAATAAAAATAAAAATTGTCCTATCCGACTTTAAATCTGTAGTCCACCAAACAGTGGACAAGATATGAAGAAATCCTAGGATTTCTTATCCTATCCTATCCAGTCCTATCCTGTTTAGAAATCCGGATGACTAAACGCAGTAAGTGTACATGTCTCATTGCTGAATACAATCGAAGTCCGACGTAGTATGATGTTAATACATGGAGATGATGATAGGTGCGGCGAGGCCTTATATGGAAGCCAATGTACGAGAACTTCACGTGCTGGAGAATGCTTCAGCCTTTTCTGTTCCCGGTGCAATCCCAAGAATTTCCCCAAGCAATGCTTTTTTTCACTCTTCAAAGGCCAAATTGCAGCCCGCTGTAGCACCCTATGGACATGAAGCCCCGCCCGATCACCCCCAGACCTTGCCCCTGCTTTGGAACATATAGCCTGTCATTTTCCTTTTGGGCCGTAGTGTTAATAGATTTGCCAACTCCAACCAAAACCATTACATGTCGCCTGTATTTCAGAATTTTCCGTTATTTTGCGTTTCCCGCTGTATTTTCGTAAATACAAACACAATGGTTCGTCCAGCATGTAAGACGTTGATTCATCAGTCAAAATGTCTCATAAAAATAAAGTGGTGAAGCATCCCAAATTCAGAGGGAAGCATACCACCAACCAATGAAAGGGACAAAAGGGCATAAGAATCCAGATCTTCCGTGTCTGAATTGTCAAATCTGATGCTTAGAGAACTAATTTACAGCATAATCTTTTTTATCCCACCTAAAAAAGTCATTATTTCACAGCAGTCTAAGCTTATGTACAAGAGTAAGTCGAAATCAGAGCTTTCTTCACATCTCCTGCTAGAGGATCGCTTCAATCAGTTCCTTCCCAGCCTCACCAGATGCTGCTGATGCTTGGCCGCAGCTGCCTTATCAGCTGCCTCCCGCTTCAGAGCCCTCTTCGCCCGCCTCCCAGTCCCGACCGTCTCCTTCGCTGCAACCTCCTTTTTCTTGGGCTGGCGTGACGAACTAGAAGCACCCTCGTCTTGAGGGTTTGCCCGATAGACTGGACGAGCTTCTTGGCGGCCCGCCCTGACATAACCGTTATCTCCCCACCTCCTATTCCCGATCCGGACATTAGGACTGTTGAAGTAAGCTTCTTCAAGATCATCATCCTCATCATCTACTTCGTCCTCATAGGGACAGTAGTTTTCAAGGGGATCATGTGTGTCCTCGTAATGGACCTCTAGTGGCATGAACCATGTAGCCCTCAGAAGCAGACATACGCTCTCCTCGAACATGTAATCACGGATGCTGCAATAAATGAAACAGCATGGATCAATCATCCCTCACCCCTCTTGCTGCTCACTTTTCTTTCCGATAAACAGAATCTCCAGCGAAAAAAAGCCACCACACCTCTCGGTACCAAAACTTTGTCAAACAATGTCTTCCGTGGCACTGAACTAAACCGTTACTAGTCCCTCACTAAATAAACTTCCAGCTTCAGTTATTTTTCATAGTTACCTCACAAGTAAAACCTCTAATAGCATTAAGAGATCCTTACCTTCCGTCCAGCGAGCGATGAACGTTGAGGAAGTCGAAAGGATGTTTACACTGAGGGCAGGTTGGTCTTTCCTTACATGAGGCCCAGCGGAGAATGCATGTCACACTGCAAAAGATAACAAAGAAGATCAGGAAAGACGTCGCGCTTTTCATAAGCATGAGAACAGCAATCCATTGCTGCCTATATTTGAACTCAAGAGTCCTACCATATGTCGGTACCTCCCATGACTTTGCAAACTAACATCTCCTCCATTTTCTAATTTTCTAAAATCTAACCTAAGCCTAAATCACTTTTTTTTATATTGCGACTTCCTACATTTCGGGAAGTAAAAAGGACAGGTGCAATCCCGATACGGAAACGAATTAGTTCCTTAAACCATTCTAATAACACCCCCCACCTGGGAGATGGTGTGAGTCATCTCCTTCTTGTCACTAAATGAAAAACAAACCGATCTTGTGGGATGCGAATGTCACACATCTTATGATGTCAATACTGAATTGATACACCCTTGCCCTATAGCATGACCACGACCGAAATAGACGAATACAGAGGCGACATTCTTTACAAAGGTTCGGACAAAAGATAACAGCCAGGGAAACAATGTGCTTCAGTCCATAATCACAAATTAAAATGGCAGGTGGGTTTCAAACAAACCAGTAGGCGTGCTCGCAACCTTTTACAAGGGCAGTTTCTTGGAGCGCAATCTTCTCCAAGCATATCGCACAAACCCCTCCATGATTAGCATAATCATGGCTCATTGTAGCAATCGGCATTTTCTCCTGAATATCAGGAACACAAGAGCTCAAAGATTCAACTAACTGCTGAGAGGACCAAGGCAAGCACCTATAGTAGATGCATCCAAGCAAACTCTCGGGCGAGACCATGATCTGACCATCATTTTCAAAGAATCGCCAAACATCTCCAAACCCAAAAAAGCAATCTCCAATTCCCATAAAACGAAGCAAGAAACGGACCACCAGAGCTCCCCATGTCAAAACCCAGTTGAGCCAACACGGAGCACTAGAATCCCTAAGCCCAGCAAAAGTCAAATCCCACCAAACCCCCGAAGCATCGCTCTCAACGTTTAGCAATCAAAACTCATCCACTCACGACGCAAACAAAATCAAACAGGAACAAGAAACAGGACCCATTTCTCCAAACCGCTCCCAGATCTAATCCGAGGAATAAAAAAGAAGAAGAGAAAAACCCAGCAACACGACGAAGCACACCCCCCCCCCCCCCCCATTGAACCGGAGAGAGACGTACCTGATCGGGAACCGACGAATCTTGCAGGGCGTTGACCACGCGGTCGCCGTCGAGTGGGACGGCTGCGGCCATGTCGATCCGGCGGACGGAGGGACGGAAGAAACGATTCGGGCTTGCAGGAACAAGCAGGGGAAGAACAGAGCCCGGATTTCGCCCTACTAATTTACAAATCTAAAAGACCCAACAGAGCACAAAGGAGATAAAGAATAAACGAATAGGGGGCGCTCCTTCCTGTACAGAGCACAGGAGAGCGAGAGAGAGAGAGAGACACACACACACACAAAGATAATGCTCTGAGAATGATTCCGATTCCAAAACCAGAGAGAAACAGAGGAGAGAGAAACAGAGGAGACGAGAGCTCCCCTTTAATGGAGGAGGATGCTAGGGCGAAGACGAGATGTGGACGATATAAAAAGCGGTAAATCAATGGCAAAAAAAAGATTTGTATTAAAAAAAAATGATGTTTTTTTTGGGGGGGTCCAAATATTAAAAATGAATTTTTTATGATAGAAGAAGTCGCCGATTTTGATGATTATTTTTTTTTTATCAATAGTTTTTCCGGGCTCCTCTGTAAATTTGAGGCGGTCCCTGTGGTTTCCCGACACGCGCCTTCGTTTTTTCTTCTTCCTCCAAATTTTCCCAACGCGCGCTGGATCGAACGGTGACGGATCTCGGCCGTGGAGATCGAAATTCATCGAACGGTTCGAATCTCTCCGTTGACGGGTCGCCGGTTCGGAATTCATGAGAAGCGGAGCGGGGCTCGCCCTTGGGGCGCAAGCGGCGGCGGCGGCACCTATTTCCCTTTTTCTTTTCCCCTTTTTTATTATTATTCAATTCATTTTCCCTCCTCTCTTTTCTCATTTTAAATTTGAGTTTATCGTGTCAAAAATCCCAAACTGACATACTTAAGATAAATTTAGCCTAAACTAAAAAACTCAATATTAGTACACTTACAGTAAATTTACCCTAAACTAATTTAACCCGTTGTGACAAAATTACTCTCCGTTAGTTTCAGTTAAATTTGATTAATACTACAAAAAATCACAAATTATATATCTGTGACAAACAGATGGGTAAAATCTTAAATTGGTACACCCGTCAGTTATCACGTGTCATATAATTCGACAGTTTGACGGTAAAACTTAACGGAAATAAATAAAGGGTAAATTTATCACAAATATACTGATTTGAGATTTTTTTTTGTGAAAAAATTAATTTAGAGTTCTCGATGGTATTAACCTTTAGATTTTTCATTTTCATCTAAATTCAAAGGGCAGTCCATCCCACGCGCTTGCTGTTGCTTGCGGACTTTCTTCTTTGACCTGACCCGAAACTTCCCGCATTTCGCGAAACGGCGCCGTCGTCGGAGAACAGCGGCCAGTACAATTCGTGCACGTGAACGGTGCACGTGAGACGCTGGGTTGTGAATTGGGGGAACAAAGAACTTTTTGGCGAATATGCCTCGTTTCGTAGCATGGGAGATCACGGAATATGCTGGAGAACTTGCTAGGTTGCACGGCTCTATGATCTTACCTAATACTGCAAATTAGTTCCAATATTAACCATAGACAACTAAATCATCTATATCACTATTCATCTAAATTAAGGGAAAATTGAGTTTTCCCTCAATCGACGATTAGTTTATCGACCACCCGCCTGGGTGGCGCTGCTGGAGCGCGCACTCTTCCTCTCGCAAAAAGATGAGTGTTCGAATCCGGGGTGCCGCAGGGTGACTTAATCGGTGCACGTGTGTGGTGGCTAGCACGTGTCGCCCCCAGGGTTTACCTCCCGGTTGTGGGCCGCGCGGGGGTTCCCTGGGTCATAAAAAAAATATAAAAAATAAAAACGATTAGTTTATCGAGTTCTGTCTTATTTTATTATAATTTTAAATACTTTGTATTTTTGGATTCATACGCTCAAGTGAACTGAACAGATATATGATACTTGTTATCAAGCAAGGGAATTGAACCAGAGAGAGATGGCGGCCGATGCTGGGATGAATTTGATTTGTCTAGGATTTTATAGCAAGTTCGTGTACTGTACGGATGAAATCGGGAGACTCGATGTATCTGCATTTTGCTTGAGAACGCATCGCGCAAACAAATTGTAATTAGCTTAAGTTGTGTTTCGATTTTGAGGATTATATTATTTTTTATGATTGATTTCAAGAATAGTCATACCAAAAATATCGGAAATCTTGAACATTAGAGGACAAATCGCACCTCTATGCCTCTGTGGAATGTTGTCATGGTGCCCTCGTGAATAATATAAATAAGTTTTCGAAAGGTCTAGTGTGTCTACATCTTGCATCAAACACATTATTATTATTATTAATCTTGGTCCAATAGTCGACATGCCATTGAAGATGAAGAGGCGTCGGGTTCAATCACCAGTTGGCAGTTGGTTGATGCCTACCTCTTTACTTCCCCCCTTTTCTTTGTTTTTCGATTTTTCTAGTTTTAATCTTTTGTTTGCACCTTTTATATGACGTAGATTTTACACGTATAAATCTCTCATAATTTGAATATCATCATATTATTGCTTTTTTCTTGTTTTGAAGTGTTTGTCATCGAAACAAATTCAACAAGGGCTCATAACGTAAGAATAGGTTTTTTTTTTTTTTTATGACTCAGGGAACCCCCGCATGGCCGACAACCGGGAGGTAAACCCTGGGGGCGACACGTGCTAGCCACCATACACGTGCACCGGTTAAGTCACCCTCGCACTCTAGCAGAGCCACCCAGGCGGATGGTACGTAAGAATAGGTTTATGATCTTAAAAGTCTGGAATTTCATATTGATTGATATTTTTCAAGTCATAACGTTCTGTTTAGTCGGCGTAAAACCTGAATTCACGTGATAATTACGACACTTCTAAAAGCACCGGTATTTCAAGTACACATAAAATCACACTCTTCAATTGGTACATCCGTCGAGGACGAAGGTATCGAAATCGCGGATGGAGACCGAGGGCACTCGGGGCGCACAGGAAGCACCATCAGTAGGCGACCCGAATGCAATTTTCTCTAGTTAAAGTTCTACGCTAGGGGTGAGGTTTCTCGAGTATTGAGTTATTGGATTTGGTAGCACAATCGAGGGAACAGAATCTAATGTGCAAAGAAAATTTCACGGTCAACATCGATGAGGAGCGAGGAATTTCGGAGCCAACCGGGCGGACGCTCCCCGCCCGGCCAAAACCAACCAGCGTTCGAGTCGACTAGCCGGTGGGCTCTCATCGGAGGCCCAATTCAAAAGGCAGGCCCAGGCCCAGTACCATGGCCCGGCCCGAGTCCGAACCCGACCCGAACTCCTCCTTCCTTCTCTCTCTCTCGCCTCCGTTCCTTCACCTTCTCAACTCTCTCTCTCTCTCTCTCGCGAGCTTCGAAACCAAAATCCTCTGAAGAAATTTTGCTGCGTGAAGATGGGGGCGGATTCAAGCTCGGCCGAACATGCTCCGGCAGCCGCCGCGCCGGACGACGTCGAAGCCTTGCTCGATGTACTCTCTCGCTCCCTCCTCCTCTTCTTTCTTCTTGCACCCCCTTCTTTTACCTCTCGCTGATTCTGATGGCGATGAGCTCGGGTACAGTCGTACCGACTGAGTTCGATTCCGTCGCGTGATTACATACCCATTATTGGTAGACTCGTGCGGGGCGATGTTGGTGCTTCGTATGTTTGGGTTTTACTTGGGGGATTAGGCATGCGGTTTCGTGCTCCCTGAGGTTATTTGGCGGCTGAGGTATTCAGGAGCTGTTTGTGTTCGTGTGTTTGTCTCTGTGGTGATTGACAGGCTGCGAGATACGGTGACATGGAGGACGTCACGAGCTTAGCCACCGCCGGCGTTCCTCTCGATTCGAGGGACGAGCAAGGCCGTACAGGTTGTTCTCTTGGCTTCGGCCTTTGGTCTCCCTATTTGCATTTTACCGTCCTTGGCTCTCTATATTTCACAAAAAATGAATGACCTAGATCGATAATAATTTGTGTCTACGAGATGAAAATACATGTGTGAAAGATGAAAATGTCTTCGCGAAAATATCTCCTTTTTTTATTATTTTTGTAAGCAATACAAGCGATCTTTTTTTAGAAAAATATTTTTTTAAATTATTTATTTTTCGCGAAACAAAGGGACCTTGTTATCGTTAAATTTTCTTGTTTGTATCACGGCATGGCTTCCGGTAATGAATAGAGTTACTGTTCACCTTTGTATCGGATTCCTCAGTAAAGTTGTTTAGATACACGAAAGGATTACCATGTTTGATCCGCTTCCATGGATGTCGTTTGCAGCTCTTCACATGGCCGCGGCTAATGGGCACCTCAACATTGTGGATTATCTCATCAGCAAAGGAGCGGTGAGGAAGTCATCTCTTGGAGAACATTTTCTTTCCTTCTTTAAATTTCGGAGGATTTAGTCGCGTTCCCTTCATCATGTTCATGTTTTATTGCTGATCTCGAGTGTACCTGTTAAAGTTGGACTTAGAAAGATCCGGTCTTGTTTGGCTCCTGCTTTCCGTTCATATTCTTCCGACCAAACTGTGTTTTGCAACAACCTGACTAAATTCAATCAACTATTTTATGCTCATATAGATGCTTATCGGGAAAACTCTCTCTCTCTCTCTCTCTCTCTCTCTCTCTCTCTCTCGGAGACGTTGATGTTTTTTGCTTGCTCTAGTGCTTACCACTCTCGGCTCTGACAATATTCAGTCGTGCTCTATTGATTTGACAAACCCAGATAAGTTTTCTCAAGTGTCGGTGAGCACATTTCTGATGATTGCTCTGGGGTTGTTCTGATTTGTGCTTGATACCAGTGTCTTATTGGAACTAGTGTTGATACGAGGTCCTGAGTGCAGCTATTTGTTGTGTAGTCACATGTAAAAATAGACATTCCTTAGAAAGATCCGGTCTTGTTTGCCTCCTGCTTTCCGTTCATATTCTTCCGACCAAACCGTGTTTTGCAATAATCTGACTAAATTCAATCAACTATTTTATGCTATATAGATGCTTATCAGGAAAACTCTCTCTCTCTCTCTCTCTCTCGGAGACGTTGATGTTTATTGCTTGCTCTAGTACTTACCACTCTCGGCTCTGACAATATTCAGTTGTGCTCTATTGATTTGAGAAACCCAGATAAGTTTTCTCAAGTGTTAGTGAGCACGTTTCTGATGATTGCTCTGGGGTTGTTCTGATTTGTGCTTGATATCAGTGTCTTATTGGAACTAGTGTTGATACGAGGTCCTGAGTGCAGCTATTTGTTGTGTAGTCACATGTAAAAATAGACATTCCTTAAAATCTGGAATCTTCCAATTTCAGGATGTTAATGCTGCTAATGTGGAGAAGAATACTCCTCTTCATTGGGCTTGTCTTAACGGTCATGTTCAGGTGATTGTTTCATCATATTGCAAAGATTCCAGTGCATCTTTATCAAATTCCTTAGCACATCGACATTGCAGGTGGTCCATAGCTTGATTCTGGCCAGAGCAAATGCAAGCTTGCTGAACAGGTCAGTTGATTTTTAGACTGAAGTTGATAGCACGGGATGCTGCTCGAAGCAATACCTACTATGCGTTTGACATATTTCTGCACTCACTAATCCAACTGGGTAATGTGCAGCCACGAGCGGACGCCAATCGATGAGGCAGTAAGCAGGGGGAAATTGGATGTCGTTGACGCAATCAATGCCGCTGCAGCGCAACTTGAACTGAATGGCACAAGCATGTCATGATGGAGAGAAAATTGGGATGATATGCTTGTAGCTATCTCAATTTTGCGTTTCTTCATGGGAGAAATGCTAGGCTCATGTGGTGAGAGATTCTAGTTATATTACGTGGTGGTTCTCGCAGTCTATTGCCAATGCCTCAATTTTGTGATGTCAGGAGCTATAAGATATTCATCAAATATCGAGAGCGGTCCAATGTTGCTGACTGCAAGACATTCTCAAAAGACTAGATAAATCGAAGGAATCAATAGAGAAGATTGAGTATTTAGTCCTTTAAATTTTGAGTGACTGCCTAGACTAGATCTTTAGTATTTCATGAAAGTGAAGATCTTTTAATTTGGCGCTCATTTTAGCGACGTATGTAATGACAAATGACAAGCGTGACACGGATGACATGCTTGTGTACTACAACCAGGAGCACTTAGTTTTGTCGTGACATTCATGACATTTCATTACCGATATCATCTATGCCGAGAGTCATTTGGTGTGTCACATGTAAGAACCTCGATTTTGTTCAGTGGAAAAATTGCTCAGTCTTACCTTTCACTGAGAAACCAATCGAACTTACTTTTCTTTTGCTTGTAACTTTGGGCGTGTTCGTGATGATATGATATATTACGACGATTTCCGTTGGAGAAGACAATTTATGCATGTCCAGTATTCAGTATTCAATCACCTAAAGCAATGTTCTTGAAGATCTTGATGTGGTCATGCGTCTAAGTGCCGTGATGCAATAACATAACCTAATGTGGAAACAGGAAATGGATACGCAGCGTCTTGTTTAGTAGTGCTCGTGAATATTTCATCTTTAATTGGAGTTCTAGCAACGATGTTAAGGTGCAGCATCTGCATCATCGACTTGCCAGATATGTTTTGATTCTTGTTGCTAGACGGCCTTGTTTTACCATGCGACGGATCTTGATCCTAGGTACATAATCTGTCTTACTTTACTCGCTGACCAATTCTCCGATATCTAAGAATAATAAAGAGCACAAAAAGATGAACCCGACTACGTGAATATCGATCTGAAGGAGAACATGTTCTCATTCAACAAACACAACTTGATCAACGCGATAATCATCAGTAATGTCAGTGATGGAACAATCTGCGAACCTCACACAGATGATTGTTTACTTATCTGAAACCAGTGGCAAAGACCATTCTATATAGCGGGGAAAAGTACCAAGAAAGTTATAAACCTTTTGTATTGGTGCCAATTTAGTCCTAAACCTTTTTTTGGTGCCAATTCAGTTCTAAACCATTTGCATTGGTGCCAATTTAGTCTTAAACCTTTTTTCGATGCCAATTCAGTTCTAAACCTTTTGCATTGGTGTCAATTCAGTCCTAAATCTTTTTGTCTTTGTGCCAATTCAGTCTTTCCGGTCAATTTTAGTAGGATTTTGCTGACGTGGTCGCCAGGCGGTCATCGGCGATGACGTGGACAATTCTTAATAATATTTTAATAATTTTGGAATTTTTATTTATTCTTTTTTTTCCCTCCCTCCTCCGGTCACCGGATCGGCTAGAGGCCAGAGGACGGCGAGGTTGACCTCGCCGGAGGCTGGGCGAGGCACGACCTTGCCAGATCTGGCGAGGTTCGGCCTCGCCCAGCCATGGCGAGGCTTGCCTTCGCCGTCGTTGGCGAGGGCGAGCCTCGCCAGTGGTCGGCGAGGTCGGGTTAGTCCTCGCCGGCCTCCGGCCTCTGGTAGGTCGCCGGTCCGGCAACCGACTAGAGGAAGGAGGGAGGAGAGGGAAAAAAAAAAGAAGAAAAAGAAGAAAAAAAAAAAATAAATATTCAAAAAAATATTAAAATATTATTAAAAAGTTGTCAACGTCAGCGCTGGTGATCGGCCGCCGGCCGGCTGGTGTCCATGTCAGCAAAATCCAGCCAAAAATGACTGGAATGACTGAATTGGCACAAAGACAAAAAGACTTAGGATTAAATTGGCATCAAAAAATGGTTTAGGACTAAATTGGCACCAATACAAAAGGTTTAAGACTGAATTGGTACCAAAAAAAGGTTTAAGACTAAATTGGCACAAATGCAAAAGGTTTAGGACTAAATTGGCACAAATGCAAAAGGTTTATGACTTTTTTGGCACTTTTTCCCTATATAGCGTATACATTGTTTTGAGCTCGGGGAAAGATCATTTGTCTGCTTAAGCTTCGTGTTGTTTGAGCTCTATGGTAATGTGTACATTGTGCGATTCCCCTTTCAATTAGCCAAAATCGTCTGATCACGCGATTGTCTCGTTGGTGACAACTGCAAGAACATAGTACCATGTCAATTCTATGATTCTTCAAAAGCTTTCATATGACATTTTCATTTATCTTCTCTTTTCCGGTTCTTCAAACATTGCAGCCATCATGCTTTTGTTTTTTCTATGGTTGGCAACTTTCGCCGGCGAGTCTCGGGAATTTCTATCATTTGGATCAGCGTTGTTACTAACCAAGAAAAATTTTCGTTAAGTTGAAATTCAAACACTAATCAATTGGTTAGCATTAGATTGGTGACCAACCATTTTCGAAGCGATATGATGCCCAGAAAGGTCAATCAGCAGGCCCCCAGACGAAACATGTGATTAACAGGAAACAAACATTTGACTTCAAGTAAAAACGAAGACTATCATCAAAAGGAATGCAACTGGTGAAAACAGTGAATCCAAAAAAGAGATGAGGTTCATTGAATTCTGAAAATTAAACAGTCCGTCAAATATTTCTAGATCAACAGCTGTTTCCCTCCTCTTTTGTACAATTGAGAGGCAAATTAGAAGTGACAAAAACTTGGTTAACATGACTGTTTTCAGTAGCAACTACTAGCTATCTATGCTCTTCCATTTTCTTCAATAACATCAGGAAACTATAATCATATTGTCAAAAAGGAACAAAAAATAAAAGAACTTGTAAATTAAACCCTTTCTTTCTTCTTCCACTGCAACCTTACAAGTTTGCAAGGCAAAGCCCTAGTTTTGTACTCCGATATAGTCTCCAAGTTTGGCGACCAAACTTGCACTTTAGACCCTACCAACCGATCGTAATGCTTTTGCAACTCTGGTGTGCTACAAAGAAAACCGCGACTCCCAGCCACGTCGACATTACCGCATGCAATACTGTCCTTATTGTTCTTGGCGACGATCAACCTCGTGATGAACTCTGGGACAACCTTAATCAAGACCTTCCCGTCTTCACCTTTCACGTACTGGAAAGGACCGTTGCTATCGCCGAAGCTCACGAGGGACAGTTTTCCAGGGTTCGAGCAAAGGGATGCAATGGTGGAGGAAGATAGGGTGTCACCGGAGAAGAAGTCGATCGGAAGAACAAAGTAGGTTTGACCGGGGATGAGCTCGTCGTCTACGGCGAGCAATGGGATTGGGCGGCTGAGGAAGAACGAGTCTGCGTGCAAGACCATCATGTTGGGACACTCGAACATGATATCGCCGGCTACGCGGGGGCGGTTTCCGGTCAACGTCCTCGTGGTTCCTTCCCAGAAGATTAGCTTCAGAGACTGTGACTTCGAGCTTGAGTTGGGATGCAAGCAAGGTGATATTGCATTGCCCATGGATGACTGATCAGTGAGAGAACAGAAGGAGAGGGAGAGATGTTTGATTTTAGAGAGGAGGGTCTTGCTTTGGAACAAGAAAGAGGGTGCTGTGTGATTCAATATATAAAGAAGATGGGAAGAGATTTTGACTTTTTCTCAAATAAGAGAGTCTCTCCAGTTGATTTTCCTTTAGGTTTTTGATTTTTCTTGAGGAAGCCGGTGTGGTCTGGTCAGCGAAGCCGGCTTTGGACCACAAACAATCTCTCTCGCTTTCCTTTAATTGGTGTGGCCGGACACTCCCATGGACTTGGTCATTCGTTACATTTGATTGGTCGAAAATTTGATTGGTCGAAGTCACAGGAGCATTAACCCTTTTATCATTAACATTAACCCATATACTACTTCTTAATCAGCTCTGACGTTACCAACAAGACATTAACTTAGATGAACGTATATTTTGCCATTTTCCATGTTAGTCCCATCTGCTGTCTCCAAGCACCAAATGACAATACATAAACTCTCAATTTGTGTTCGTTCACGCTACATCATATCCGCTCACTCAACTCTAAAATTTTTTCCCCTTCTCTCTATATTCCCACCCCTTCTCAAATTCTGACTCAGAGTCATGCCGCCACAGCCTTGGTCACCCTCGATGTCGTTGGCCTTGCCGATACCGGCGAGCATAGCCAAACACATACTTACGCTTGTAGCGTTCTTATTTGTTTATTAGCAGGATGTGATGATGATAGTATATGCAATCATTGTAACTTTATTTCACACATTCTATAGCTCTCACTGTTGAAATGAGCAATTAGTATGAACTTAAAATAAAACTACCCGTATAAATGGTGTTATACGTGGAATGAAAGAAAAAGAGAATTACACATCCTCCATACCTCATAATTACGCAGCTTGTAAACCTTATAATCTGACGTCAATTTGGAGAATCAATGTCAAGAGAGATAAGTAACAACCAAATTTTGAGCGCATCAACAATGGGAATCCTTGCTCAAGTTCTACCGCAACCGTTGCTATAAGATGCTTCCAGATAATTCGAATATCAGCTAAAACGGGAAAATCAAATCACTAAACAAGAGGCATGAGGTCTCGGGTTCTGATTTATTCCTAATTGTCACGACTGCTCGGCGACAATGTATAGTCAATTCCATCCAATTCCCGAGTCTCGTCGCGTATGGAGTGCTTTCGAAAGGACCGAACTTCGTCTGGTGTGCGAAAATTTAGCCGAGGGTACCGCTCGATGGTTAAAAAAGAAAAAAAAGATTAAATTTGAGGATCAAGGATGCGATCATATGTCAGATCTACTGAAAACGAGTTTGGTGATCTCCGTGAAGACTCGTCACGACTCTAGAATTGCTTTTGCTTAGGCAACAACCACTCTACTCTGATAAACTAATGTCTGATCGATGTTAACGTGCATGGCATGGCAAGGGTATGGTCCAACCTTACGTCTGTCATCGAGACCATGTCACCGAAAGAAAATAAAAGAAAGCAGTCGATCCTTCGAGCTGGCTTTGACCATTCTTTAAGCAAGAAAATGCTGCTTTGAATAGAACTTCTAGTAGTAGCTTTGCTTCATTGAAAGATTTCGAAAGAATCCAATCTGCCATTAATGAGGGTCCTATGCTGTGGTCCTTGTTTCTAGATTTTTATACCGTAGGCAGGAGATTGTTTTCTTCACCGATGGTACGTATATGATATGAAAGCTACTACATTAATTAGTGGGTCGGGCCGGACCCTCTAATAAGTGCTGACATTGTAGCGGCTCGGCCTGACGCCATAACCATCGGTGGGTGTGCCTTCTTATTTGTGGCTTGCATTGTTTTCTCGAAATAGAAGGGTCGAATGGAAGTTTCTTCGCGAAAATTCCATTTTCTCCGGAAAAACTAAAAGTAGGATCGACTTGCAAATGTTTTAGTCAACTGAGGAATGCTAAGTTAAACTCCCAAATCTTGCAAATAACCATTGTTTTAGGACTAATTATTGTAGTTGCCTTTGATGAAGGGGTTGATGTATGATCTCTTCTCTTGGCAAGACGTGGCTGCTCAATATGATATTCCTCGCAGCTACTGAGAAGTTTGTCATCGCGCTATAAATCTCAATTTCTAATTTGATGTCCTGTTTACTTTTATCTTTTTAGTTTTCATCACGTTAATAGGGGAAATTCGTTTGCATTTCGCTGCCCTATGAACTGCCTTGGTATTTTCTCGTTGACTGATATGCTTGGCTGATTGCGTTCCATGTCAATTATGTTGACCTACGTAGGACATGGGTATATTGACTTCGAGTCATAATATACACGCGCATGACAAATTCTTATCAGAATTCAACATTTGATTAGCACATTGACATTGGAGGTGGTCCATAATTTGATTCTGGCCGGAGCAAATGCACGCTTGTTGAACGGGTCAGTTATTTTTTAGACCGAAGTTGATAGCACGGGACGCCGCTCGAAGCAACGCGTGTGGCGTGTTTGACATTTTTCTGCGTTCGCTAATCCCACCGGGTAATGTGCAGTCACTAGCGGACGCCAATCGATGAGGCAGTGAGCAGGGGGAAATTGGATGTAGTCGACGCAATCAATGCCGCCGCAGCGCAAGTTGAACTAACTGGTGGTAGCATGTCCTGATGAAGAGAGAATTGGGACGATATGCTTGTAGCTATCTAGATTTTCTGCGTTTCATCATGGGAGAAATGCTAGGCTTATGTGATGAGAGATTCTAGTTATATTACGTGGTGGTTCTCATAGTTGATTGCCGAAACCTCAACTTCGTGATATCATGAGCTATACATAATTCATCAAATATGGAAAGCGGCCCAATGCTGCAGACAGGCAGACATTTTCAGAAGACGAGAAATTGAAGGAATCAATACAGAAGAGTCTTTAGTCCTTTATATTTCGAGCGACTGAGTAGACTAGATCTTTAGTATTTCTTTGAGAATGAAAATTTTCTTTTGTCGCTCGTCCTAACGATGTATGAAATGACTAAATGAAGAGCATGCCATAGACGGCATACTCGTGTAATAATCAGGAGCTCTTAGTTTTATCGCAATATTTATGACTTGTCACTAGTGTTATCACCTTTGCTGAGATTCATTTGGTGCTTGCTTAAGAATTGATTTACGCTGTAACCTGTCCTGTCACCTGAATACCCTCCATTTCTCAGATAAAGCACGTACTATAGATAGGAAAATTGCTTGTTTCTTTCCTTTCATATGCAGACAACACGTCATGCATCTCCAGTATTCCACATTCAATCACCTAAAGCAATCCACTTGAAGATCTCGATGTGATCGTGCGTTTTATGTGCAACAACGCAATAACATAACCTGATACGGAAACAGGAAATTGGTATGCAGTTTCTTGTTTAGAGATTTGATCCCCAATAGAGTTCATAGCAACGGATGTTAAGGCAGAGCATCTGCATCATTGACGGATGAGCAAATTTTTAACTTAACCATACAGCCAGAAATATATTGATTCTCGTTGCTGCACGGCCTTCTTTTGTCATGTGACAGACCTTAATCCTAGGCATATAATCTTTCAACTCTGTCGTACTTTAGTCGTCGATTGATTCTCTGATATCCAAGAATCATAAAAAGCATAAAAAGATGAACTTGACTACATAAAAACCGATCTAAAATGGAACATGCTGTCATTTGACAGACACAAATTGCTTAACGCGATAATCAATAATAATGTCCATGATCGAATGATCTGCGAGCCTCACATAGATAATTGTTTACTTATCCGAAACCAGTGGCATAAACCATTCTATTTAGCGTATGCATTGTTTTCGAGCTCCGGGAAAGATAATTAGTCGTTTAAGCTTTATGTAGTTTGAACTCTATGGTGATGTGTACATTTTGTGATTCCTCTTTCAATAAGCCAAAATCCTCGGACGCCATTGTCTGTGACAACAGCAAGAACATAATATGATTCCTCAAAAGTTTTCAACATGACATTTTCATTTATCTTCTCTTTTCCGATTTGTCAACTATTGCTGCCATCATGCTTTTGTTAATTTTTTATGGTTGGTAACTTTTGCAGGTGAGTTATTGGAATTCCAATTATTTTGATCAGAGTCATCATAACTAACCGAGAAAAATTGTGGTTAAGGTAAGGTTCAAACACCTTTAATCGGTTAGGGTTAGATCGGTGACCAACCATATCTTCTAAGCGACATCATGCTTTTGTTAATTTTTTATGGTTGGTAACTTTTGCAGGTGAGTTATTGGAATTCCGATTATTTTGATCAGAGTCATCGTAACTAACCAAGAAAAATTGTGGTTAAGGTAAGGTTCAAACACCTTTAATCAGTTAGCATTCGATCGGTGACCAACCATATCTCCTAAGCGACATGACGTCCTGAACGATGAATCGGTCGATGCTGAAATGAAACACGTGATTAACAGGAAACAAACATTTGATGCTAATGAATCCAAGAAAGAAAACCATCTTCAAAAGGAATGAAACTGATGATGCTAATGAATCCAAAATAGATATGACGTTCATTGAATTCTGAACATTGAATTATTTGTCAAAATATTTCTGGATCAACCGCTGTTTCCATCCTTTTTGTACAATTGAGAGGCAAATTAGAAGTGATGCAAATTTGGTTAACATGACTGTATTTACTTGTAACTATTAACCAGCTATACTCTTTCATTCTCTTCAGCCACATCAGGAAACTATAATCATAGCGTAGAAAAGGAAAAAAAAGAGGAACTTGTAAACTATTGCCTTTCTTTCTTCTTCCACTCCAACCTTAGAAGTTTGCCAGGCAAAACCCTAGTTTTGTACTCCGATATCGTCTCCAATTTCGGCGACCAAACTTGCACTCTAGACCCTACTAACTGGTCGTAATGCTTCTGCAACTCCGGTGTGCTGCAAAGAAAACCGCGACTCCCAGCTGCGTCAACATTACCACATGCGATGTCGTCCTTATTATTCTTGGCGGCAATCAGCCTCGTAATGAACTCTGGGACAACCTTAATCAAGACCTTCCCGTCTCCGCTTTTGACATACTCGAAAGGACCGTTGCTACCGCCAAAGCTCACGAGGGACTGTTTGCGAGGATTCGAGCATAGGGATGCGATCGTGGAGGAAGATAGGGTGTTGCAGGAGAAGAAGTCGATGGGAAGGACAAAGTAGGTCTGACCGCGGATGAGCTCGTCGTCAATGGCGAGCAGCGGGATCTGGCGGCCGAGGAAGAAAGAGTCCGCATGCAAGACCATCATGTCGGGACACTCAAACATGATATCGCCAGCTACTCGGGAGCGGTTTCCGGTTAACATCCTCGTGGTTCCTTCCCAAAAGATTAGCTTCACGGACTGTGACTTCGAGCTTGAGTTGTGATGCAAGCAAGGTGATATCGCATTCCCCATGAATGACAGATCAGTGAGAGATCAGAGGGAGACAGAAGGAGAGATGTTTAATTTAGAGAGGAGTGTGTTGCTTTAGAACAAGAAAAGTGTGCTGTGGGATTCAATATATAGAGAAGATGGGAAGAGATTTTCACTTTTTCTCAAATAAGAGGGTGTCTCCAGTTGATTTTCCTTTAAGGTTTTTCATTGATTTATTCATTTCTGGTTCGGTGCTTTTGCATATTAAAAGAAAAAGAACAAACAAAAGTAAAAGTCGCAGATTGTTGTCTTTCATGGTAGGTTATGAAAAGGAGGAAGTCGGTGTGGTCTGGTCAGCGAAGCCGGCTTTGGACCAAAGACAAAGTTCGCTAGCTTTGCCATAATTGGTGTATCCGGACACTCCTTTGGACTGGTCATGCGTGACATTTGATCGGTCGAATTACGATCGACCCATGTACTAACATCTTAATCATCTCTCGAGTTAAACAACTCTTTAGATTACCGATAAGGTGTTAACTTAGATGAACGCAGGTCTGCCATTTTCCACGGGTAGTCCCATCTGCTGTCCCAAGCAAGAAATGGCGACACGTGGACGCTCAATTTACGTTCGCTCGCGATGCATTGAATCCCCCCAATTGATCCTAAAGCTTTTCCCCTTCTCTCTCTACCCCGGCACCCTCCTCAAACTCTGGCTCATCGCCGTATCGGCCGTCACGCGAACACATATGCTTGTAGCATTAGGATGTGACATGATAGTACAAGTATTCATTGTAACTTTATTTTGCACATTCCATAACTTTCTTCGTCGAAATGAGCAATTAGTAATCATTTACTCAAAATGAAACTACCCATATAAATGGTGTTAGACAAGAGATGATGAAATCAAAAGGCTGAAAAATTATTCAAAATTTTTTAAATCTTTTACTTGTGCTAATTAAGTCCTAAATCTTTTCATGTTTTGTCAATTGAGTCCATTCGGACAAAAATCGCTAACGTGGACGCCGGCATAGGATGGCCGGCACGGACGTGGATAATTTTTAATAATATTTTAATATCTTTTAAATATTATTAATTTATTTTTAAAAATTTTTTTTTTTCTTTCTTTTATTCCTTCCCTTCTTCCTCTAGCCGGTTGTTGGGCCTTGGCGACCTGCCAAAGACGAGGGCCGGCGAGGTCGACCTGGCTGGCTTCTGGTCAAGCTCACCCCTACCGGCCACTGGCGAGGTCGACCTTGCTGGCCCTCGCCTCTGGCCAGTCTTTGATCATTGCTGAGGCTCAGTGGCCGGCTAGAGGAAGAAGGGAAGAAAATGAAAAAAAAAGGAAAACGAAAAGAAAAATAAAAAAAATTAAAATTTAAAAATATCATTAAAAATTGTCAAGTTAGCGCTGGCGCGCCACATAGGACGGCTGGCGTCCACGTCAGCGATTTCCCGCCAAAATTGGCCGGATAGACGTAATTGGCAAAACGTAAAAAAATTTAGGTATCAATTGACACAATTAAAATGTTTAAAATTAAATGGGCAAAAAATCAACAAGTTGAAGATTTTTCGGACGATTTTCCCATGAAAAGGATTAGACATCCTCCATACCTCATAGTTACCCAGCTTGAAGGTTAAAAAGAATAGAATAAGTTCGATCACAAGTCGATCTACAAAAAAAATGAGTATGGTTATCTCCGTGAGGACTCATCATGACTCTTAAGAGTGGCTTTACTTGGGTTCCACTCTGATGAACCAATGTCTGATCAATGTTAATTGTTAACGTGCATGGCATGGATAGTATACGGTCCAACCTTACGTCTTTCGTGGAGACCAACTCGTGCCTCATCAACCATAAAATAAAGGGAATGCGGTCGGTCGTTCGGAGGTGCTGGCTTTGACCATTCTTTAAGAAGGAAAATACTGCTTTGAATAGAACTTCTAGTATTAGCTTTGCTTTGCTTACTCTATATAATTAAAAGATTCCCAACGAATCCAATCTTGCCTTTAACGAGGGTCTTACGTTGTTGGAGTCCTTGTTTCTGGGGTTTCATTCCCCTCGTGATGGAACTAAATAGATAGTATCTTTGTTCTTTCCTCCTTTTTGCAGACAGGAAGAAAAAGGAATTTAACCATATTTACCCTCTGCGGATGGTAAAAAAAAAAAAATTAACCTGCGTGATATTAAATTTGGCCAGATGTAAAATTGAAATCCAACATGGAACGATTACGTTTCGGTTAGATATATCTCCAAATATCTATACGGCAAGCGGGAGATCGTTTTCTTCACCGTCCGACAGTAAATATATGATTTAAAAGCTACTACTACATCAATTGATGGGGGGCCAGGCCGTGCCATGCCGAGCCCTCTAATAAGTGCCGGCATTGTGATGGCTCGGCCCGAACACCATCACCATTGGTTGGCGTGCCTTCTTAGTTATGACTTGCGTTTGTTTTTCGAAACAGAATGGGTCGCATGGAAGTTTCATCGCAAAAGACTTGATTTTCCCAGGAAACATTAAAAGTAGGATCGACACGCAAATGGTCTAAGTAAAACCGAGGACTTTTATTATATTATGCAAGTGGGACTCCCAAGTCTTGCAAATAAAACATTACTTTAGGGCTAATTATTGGAGTTGCCTTCGATGAAATGGGGTTGAGGTATAGGCGCCCCGATTACCTGTGCGGGCTCGTCCCCGGGGAATGGTGGCGGATCCTCGGTTACCAAAAAAATAAAAATAAAAATGGGATTGAGGTACAATTTCTTCTCTTGGCAGAGCCGTGGCTGCTCAATCTGATATTCCTCGCAGCTACTGAGAAGTTTGTCATTAGGCTGTAAATCTCAATTCAACTAATGTTCAAGTTCTGTTTATGTTGTCTTCTCCCCTTTTGTTTATGTTAATAGGGAAAAATCTGTTTGCATTTCGCTGCCCAAATAATTTCTGATTGACCAATATGCTTGGTCGATTACGTTCCACGTCAACTAAGTTGACCTTTGTCGTAGAACATGCGTATATATTGACTTCGAGACAAAATAGTATAGACATGTGCGTGACAAATTCCTTACCTAAAATTAAATATTCGTTTCAAAGTCCAAACCACACATCAAGAATCACCTAAAAGCCAATGGTTAATTGGTTATGCAGTTTGGAGATCACAAAATCTACAGTGCGTCAAAGTTCGAGATCACCGTACAAGGTCTTACCTCAAACAAGGCGTCTATTGCACTTCTTGTATTTTGGGCACGTGATACATTCAAGAATAGAACGACCAAGTCAAATTGAGTGGTTTTTGCGACCGCCCATAAGATAGAAGAGTGTCATCTTGCAAAGAATTTACCTTCTCTTGTCGTCGCTATGCAATGCTATGCAAGTGCATGGCTCGGTGAAATCAAGGGAATGTATAGGACATTTAAGCATGTCAAAATGGATCATAAACGCATTTCTTAATTCATATTTATTAGGCTGTGTTGTTATGTGTGTTAATTATATTCAGTAAATGGGTTTATAATAGTGAAACTCAAAAAAATATGGGTATCTAATGTGATCATAACTTACTTAGACTCAACTTATCTCTATGACTCTCTCTTCATTCCCTCTCGCCCTCATTCGGTCTGCCACTCGCTCACTCTGTACTTTCACCTCAATTTGGATATGAGTTTTTCTAGATTTGGTTAAGTGCAAACATATTTTAGCGATATAGGTCGGGTCGGACATGGAATACTAAATTTGTGTTGTATGGAAATGGGTCAAAACGGATTAAATGGATCAATTTGGGTCGACCATTTTCAACCGGCCGTTCCTACCCATTTGACAGTTGTAAGTACATTACTTCCTTTCGACCAGGTATAACGAGAAAGCATTCGCTGCATCCTACCAAACACATCGACCCTAAGAAATCCAGCGAGTCCCAAGCAAAGCAAATTTAATCAGGCAATCCATCACTCCTAATTTCTAGTCTTTGCTGTCAAAATGCTTTAATCAATGCCCTATCGTGATGAAAATGATTCAACGTCTCTCCATAGTAAATGGCAAGAGGGCGCCGCATTCTACGATGTTGATCAGGACGAGGGCTCATATCAACACAAGTCGAAATCCATCTAAAACCGAACTCACATTGAATTGAACTCTAACCCTCCACGAATCATTGTCCTCTCCTCAGAAACCAGTTGTAAACATCCTCAACTTCGTGAAGATACGGATCAACCCACATATCCACATCCTCGCGGTGATGATGATCGAGACGGCGACGGCAGCCTTTCGTGCTCCTCTCTCTCTTTCTCCAATAACTCTCTCTTTCTCTCTCACTCTCGCATCACTGGAAAGAAATGCGGAGCGGAGGGACACTACCGCTCACCTTCGGCAATCAACACGAACATTGTTCTTGAAAATTGATCTCCTTTAAAAAAATCTCCATATAATGTCTGAGCGGTTCGGGATTGGTTTCGAAGACCCCTACTCTTGATTTAGCGACGTAATCGCAGCGGTTTGCCATCCAAAATTTCGATAAAACTCAGACACGCTCCACCACATTTTTCACGTGATTTTCCCTATGTCGAGGGAGGTTTTGCTCGTTGAAAAGTAATTAGCGGAAGAAGTACGTTTCAGATTTTGGTACTTAGTGGACGGCCATCAAATTTCAATTCGTGCACAGGCATTCAAACATCAAAATAAACTAAGTTGCGAGAAGATTTCCACGAAGCAAATGCAAGTATGAATCCAAGTTAGATAGTCGAAAAGGAGGCAATACAATCGGCATAACGGGCCATCACCATCTTATCGCCGGGCGAAGCTCGCTGCTCATGGAAAGAGTGACTGAATATCATGCACACAAAATACATTTGGATCATAATGGCCTACAATCTATCATAGAAGAAAAAGCTTCGGTCAATATTTTGAGCATACCATTATACAAATTTAAAGTTGCATCTACACTTTTTTATTTATTTATTTCCGAATCACTAGAGCATTGAGAAAGAAAATTGAAAATAATAATGTGACTTTATATTTGAATAGGGGAATTTCTTATTGTTCAGCAACCAAGGAACCCTCTTGTTAACGGAGTAAATAGATTGGGAATACAACATTGGGGATAATCGTCTTACCGGACTGCGATTTCCTACTAAAGAAAAGGGGAATATATATAACAAGGTACGACCTAATTGAAATTACTTAGGACATTTCTTTCTTTGTTGATGTATCTCTTCTTTTTTGGC